TTACCGAACCTAACACCTGGTCGTGGCGTGCTCGCTACGTGCGAGGCCTACGGCCTTCGGCCAAGTCCTCGACCAACTTAACATATTTCAACCAACCTGAACATAACCTGACTTATCATGAATACCGTTATCAACCATGACTTGAAAACGAACTATTGTACGCTGAACATGAAAAGACCGTGGCGGACGCGCCGTGCGCCGCCGACGGCTATACGCCGTCTTTCGGCCACACCCCTTTTTCCACGGCAACAAAAGAACAACTCAACATGAATATAATACTGAGGCAATTTAGTACATGAACACACGGACAACATGATGATTACTGAAATCCCTAGATTCGGACCGAGGCCGCCCGTGGCTACGCGCGATAGGCGCTAGCGACGGCCTGGGCCATTTCTTCAACAAAACTTCATTTTACCTCGACTAATCTGAACTTATTGAGCATAAAATAGGTTGAGCTGAACAATTAAACATTAACAGTTCGGGAGTTGTCGGGAAAATCGAAAGTAACTCGGTCATGTTCTTACTTAAGCATACTCGACCTTACGCACGGTTTTTACTAAAAAAAATCTCAAATATGATCTGAACATTTAACCTTGTCATGACATTATCAACATGAATACAAGATGGGGAGGACGTTACCTCTCCGATCGTTCGACTGAAATCGCAAATAGGGCGCAATCCTTCCTCGCGTACGCCGTGCGGTGCCTTTTCCTATCACTTGTCGTGCAATTTAATGAGGATTTGAGGGAGTAATTTGGAGATATTTGTTGCTGAATAGGAATATGCGAACTGAGTACATATAAGGAAAAAGTTGGGGAAAATTTTGTGGTACAAGCTTGCTTATATACTAGAGGACGAAGGGATGGTGGTGACATGGTTGATGCGTGGCCACCCTTAACTCTTGCCATTTGCTTATCTAATAACACCCTTAAGCATGACTCATTCCCACCAATTATTCCTCCTTTAACACGTGTGATGCTAATTGAATGGTAGGGAAACAAGTCCTTAAGACTTAGGAAAAGTAGTGAGTACCAATTGAACTAAAATATATACACACGGCCTTAACATAACATTTGGATAATTTGCCTTATATCTCTCACGGCATTTTGGGCTTTAGTCACGGCTATTAGGCTTAATTTATGATTAATTTATAATTAATCACTTACTTTATGTTTAATTATTTAATTAAACATAATGCTTAATTACCAAAATTATTTCGAACGTAAACGGTACGTCGAAAATAGATTTCGGTAATCTCGACTGAAAATAATTAATTTTGAAAATAATAAACGATAACGTTATTATATCGGAACTAAAACGTAATTTATACCGATAAAATATCGGGATATTACAATGCCCCTCATGAAGCAAAAAACCAACACCAAACATAATGTTTCTCTTGTGATGGTTCATCCCTGTAA